ATGTGTTTTTTTTTCTGTTTCAATAAATTTTAATCAAAAATAAAAGTACATTAATATTTATGGTTTAACGACCTCCGTAGCCGAGTGGTTCGCACGCCGGTTTTAGGGTGTCGCCATCTCTGAGGTCCCGGGTTCGATTCCCTGTCGGGTTAATGTAGAAAATGAACTTTTTTATATTGTCTCGGGTTTGGGTGTTGTGTGATCTTCGTTGTCTCAGATACTCCATAATACAGGGGCTTTAGCTACTCATCTTGGAATCTGAGCAATGTATGTGATGTTGTTAAATATCTATATTTATTTATTTATTTATTATTATATGCCACGACTTCGTGGAGTGAATTAGTTAAGAATACTGAACAACTTTTACTTTTACTGCACTGGCAGCAGCCTTTTTTTTTGACGCTGGGAAATGCATTACTGCATACTCCAGCTCGCCCGCGCGGCTAACCGAGGTTATGTGGAGCTCCCCCCTGCGGACCCGCCCCAGAATGGGGCTAATCAAAGAGCAGGGGTAAAATCCAGCGATTGCCCTTGCATGGAAGGCGATGCACAGGATCAGCTCTGAGGCCACACACAGCGCTGTTCTCCCCCATTTCGGCCCGCCCTGAAAAGGGCAGGTCCCTCTGCGGATTGGGGGTACGGACATTCGAGACGCAAACCCTCAGACGAGGCGGGGGCGTGCAATGCCCGACCAGCGCGCAAACCAGTCAAGCTGCCCTCGACTAGAGACCGGAGATGCAATCTCCCATCTGTTGGGAAGACCCACACAGGCCGAACCCTTATCGTGGATCCCTCAACTATGGCAGCAACCTGGAGCAATACTGAATTCACGAAAAAATAATAAGCTGTTTCATACAAAATCGTAATACCTACAATAGTTGACAGTATGAAACAGCTTATTATTTTTTCGTGAATTCAGTGTTGCTCCCATAGTAAATGTTGTTTAGTATACTTTACTAATTCACTCCACAATATCCTGGCATATAATAATATTACACCTTATATAAAAGACCTCCACAATAAATAACTGCTAATAGAGAGTATTAATAGACATTACGTGTCATTGATGATATAAACTGGAGCGGGAACATTTCATTGCCATCAATAATGATTGCGTTGGATCCCCATTACCATGAGTGATGAAAAACAGCCCATTACAGACAATGTGTGATATTAACCTGGACGAACTATGAGCTTTTCCTTCAATATATCGTTATGTTACTTTGCACTCAGGAACATGAGAGTATATGATATTTTTAAGACTCGGTATATAATAAAAGTGTTATGTTCTGATGTTATTTTAAATAATTATGAGCAACACACATTTCGTCGACTATTTCTAACGGTTATTAGAAGTTTTATTTTTTAAATCTTCATCCTTGAAGAAGAACTGAGTATAGTATAATGTAATTCCGCGTAACTAACATTTGCAATTAAGACCTAATTTTAAGTGAGTCTCACTTAAAATTAAATTTAATTGCAAGTGTTAGTTTCGCGTTATTGCACCATTTCTAACATACGTTTTAAATTCTACTAAATATTTCCACGCATTCCCGTAACGACGGACAACAAAGTGATCATATAAAATTTTCGTTTTCCTTTTGAAGAAACCAAAAAATTTATGAAATTTAATATTGTATGCAATTTCAAGTTTAAAATCAGCTTTTCAATCGTAAAACTCTATAGTGCTATTAATAAATCAGAGTGATCCTATTCCTATTAATATTATAAATGTGAAAGTTTCTTTGTTCGGATGTTTGTACGTCAATCACACCGAAACTACTGACCGGATTTTGATGAAATTTGGTATACAGATAGGGTGTTCGCTGACTTAGAAAATAGGATACTTTTTATCCCACTAAACATTTCCCTAGGGTCCACGCGGGCGAAGCCGCTGGCGAAAGCTAGTTTACTATAAAATAGCAATTTTACTATTAATCCAAATTCATATTAAACAGAAAATAAGCAAACCTTCTAGGAGTAGCTTTTACCTTCTACGAGTAATTATTACCCCCGTAGAACCTCGTTCTAGGTTAACCATTGCTAAATTTCTGTTTATTAACATGATTTTTTATTAATACTTAGTGCAGTCTCAGCGTAAATGTACTCCAACTCTAAACATTCTTCATTAATAACACTGTAAAAAGTACGTTAATAACGATCGAATACTAAAACGTTTTACTTTGGGTTTTATAAGGTATTATCCACAGGTGTTGTCAAAGAAAATTTCTGAACCACAACATTAAAGAAACTTTTTATTTTATAGGAGCTCTCAGTTTAACAGTATTATTCCCTTATAGGCGAATGATGGAAATGGTTTTAATGAATTTTGTAAACAAATAGGAAGATGGTGTTAATCTAAATATATATAACTCAAAGGTGACTGACTGACATAGTGATCTATCAACGCACAGCTCAAACCACTAGACGGATCGGGCTGAAACTTGGCATACAGGTAGATGTTATGACGTAGGCATCCGCTAAGAAAGGATTTTGATCAAGTCTACCCCCAATGGTATAAAATAGGGGATGAAAGGTTGTATGAAACTTTGTCAATTTTAAACCGATCGGGCTGAGTCTTTGCATGCATAAAGCAACTATGATGTAAGCTAAGAAAAGATTTTGATAAATTCCACCCTTAAGGGGATAAAATAGGGGATGAAACTTCATTTCGGGTTTTCTACACGATTTATTGAATAAATATTCGTTAGAAATGCTGCTCAGAGTAGCTTTACCACGCGAACGAAGTCGCGGGCATAAGCTAGTATAAAATAATAGTGAACGGAACCGCGCCGAAATCAGTCGAAAATAGGTTTTATCGAATAAAACCTACATCAAAATGTAATAAAGGTTTTATTTGATTAAGCTTCCTATAACGTGACAACGTTGAGTTCGATAATGTTTTTTTAATAGAAAAATAAATCAGGCAGTGATTCTTCACAATTTTCTATATCGAGGGACTGAAGCTGATTTATTGAAATTAGTAGTGCAGTATAGATAGCAAGGTTTTGTTCTCAATGTTGTTTAATTTTTTTTTTGAATTGTTTTAATTATTTTCTTGCACTAAGTTATCCGATGACCTTAAGTAGATCTTTGGCAAAATTTCCTCTAGATATATAGAAGATGGCTCGATTTGAGACATTTTAAGATTATGACCTGATTTTGGCCATTATGGGTTACGAGGAGCTTTGTTATGACACAGATGATAGCAGTATTAGTTTTAGTACGTTATTAGATACCGTGTATAAAGTAAATATTTGCTTAAACGTAAATTAAAACCCCAAAACCGAGTCATCTGTTCTACTTTAGTATAACACTACTGTATGTATAATAACACAGTTAATATTGTGCATGCTGGCGAAGTTAAATGCAGACAGTTGAGTTTCAAATAATTTCAGCTATGTTATGATATCATATTAGCGTAAAATCTGCCTGCAAAAGTTTTACAGTATCTTAAGCTTGTTTAGTTGCAGTTCTGTAAAGAGCAAAATTGCTGACGGAGAATCTGTGGAAACTATATGAACGCAATTTAATTGGCAGTTGGTAAAATGTAGAGTTATTAAATCCTCAAAAGGAGCCAAGAACTTTCAAGTATTAATTGTATATGCATATTTCTGAATTCAAGATTTTATCAAATTGTTTCTAACATAATCACTTTGAGCTTGAGTTTTTTTTTATTAAAAATTTATTAAAAATAGACAGTGTAAATTGGAGGCCTGAATAAGACAAAGACAAGCAGGAATAGAATCAAACGTTTGGAAGTGTTAATCTCTAGTCTAGAATTGCTGGCTGAAGCCTAGACAGTAATTAATACATAAAATTAATTAACTCAATGATTCAGGAAATTTCTTTAAATTTCTTCAACTTATCAAATATTAAATCAAATGGAAGGTCTTAATTAGCACATTTCAAATATATGTATATGTCACCGGGAAATAATAAGAACCGCTAATTGATTAATTTCCTAGGAAATTTATAAACTTTCGTAGAATTCTAAACGAGACATAAATTGTATTATTTTACGTCCAAATTTTCGCAAATTGATAAACTTACGGAACTCGCACGTAAAATAATAAGCAATAATCAATTGCGCCCTGACTAGTTGAATAAGTCACGTGTTAGGTATTTCTACTTCCTTTTCACCGCCATTGTTCGCCTTCGTGAAAAAGTAACCCTGTATAATAGGTCTCTCGTTTTACTATTAAAAATACTATTAGGTAGATAATCGTAACTGTTGATTGTTTGTCCTACTCACTACACCCGTGTCAGAGAAAGACCAGGCATCTCAACTACAAATTCTAGTTTGCTAAGTCAACATCGACTAATCAAAGAGCAGCGTATTATTTGCCGTATTTCAAAGAAGCGTAAAATTGTAAAATTAAAGCTCTTCTGTGATTGGTTGAACTGTTCAGAGTGTTACGAGTAGATATTCGTTACTTTATAAATTTCCTGAGAAAATTATAATATATATATATAGCTTTTGCTTGCGATTTTGCTTAAATACACCCGAAAATTAATGAAATAATAACTATTTGCCACCGATTCTAATTTGCCGTATTTCAAAGAAGTGTAAAATTAAAAGCTCTTCTGTGATTGGTTAAACTGTTCAGAGTGTTACGAGTAGATATTCGTTAGTTTATAAATTTCCTGAGAAATTTATTTTCCGGAGACATTTATAATATATATATTGATAGCTTTTGCTTGCGATTTTGCTTAAATACACCCGAAAATTAATTAAATAATATCTAAATGCCACCGATTCTAACAAAAAAACTGTTCTGGCACACGACTACGTTGTCCTTTGGTAATCGCTACTATAATATAGCTATCCCTATAAAATAAATTTCTTTTTACAAACTTTTGGGAGCGTGATTTAGCTGTCGGGTTGTAGTTTTTGAACTTATTTTTTTACAAGAATTCAATAATGGTGGTTGAATATCATAAATAAAGAAATTGATTGATATAAACCTTCTTTTTATTAAACTTTTCAATATTTTCAGGGTGTGAACGTAGACAAGAGGACATTGGCGAGTGCAGAGAGAAAACAAAGGACCTTCACTGATAGATCCCAGCTGAAGTACGCCAGGAGACTCGTCGTTAAACTTGGCAGTGCCGTTATCACCAGGGAAGATGGTATTGGGTTGGCATTAGGACGACTGGCATCTATCGTGGAACAGGTGTGTTATCAGCATATTATTGTCCTCACTGTCATACACTTTCTCTATTCAATTCAATTCTTTTAACTCGTTATATATCACAACTTTCACAAGTTATATTTAAATCAAAATTATCTTTAAAAACAAACTGTTACGAACTGGGCAGCAGGCCGGTGAGATATTTTTAGAAGTCTATTTTTTGTTGACATTTTATTCTCCTTGTTTTTTTTTGGTCTTTGTTCTTTCTGCTGTCATGTAAGTTAGCTGCGTATTTGAGTTTGTATATATTTTATCTTTATTATATTATTTCCTAGACTTTTAGCCTTTTTTTTCCAACTCATGTCACTACTACCTATCTGTTATACTTGGTCCTTCGAGCCGGATATAACAGATAATAGAAAAGGCTCAAAGTCAAGGCAATAATATAATAAAGATAATTAAAATATATACAAACTAAAGTGCCAAAGTATATAGACTCGTATAATTTGGGTATTAACGACTGCAAATAAAGCAGGGACCAACATCCGAAGCACGTAGGAGATCGGGATAATAAATTTTCATTCAACCATCCTATGACCGGCCTTTTGTGACACAGTTTTTAGCAAATTTTGGGATATATATATACCAAAAATTTACTTGTCATTTCAACTTTAGAGTTATATTTGTGATTGATTAAATAAGAAAACACTATGAAAGGCGTCCATTATTTCCATTCAAGGTGAACCGCGCCCGTCCAGTGAATCCTTACCTGCTTCACAGTCCGCCCAATTTAGACCGCCAGACGTCATTAAAATAAATTACACTTCCATCGAAACACATTTTCATTTACTCCTTGAAATATTGAAATGAACTTAAAAAAAGATCCCCTTTTTATTGTGAAGGGGAAACGAAAAGAATTTTTCTCTTTCAATAGCATTTATTGGAGGAATGCAAAGGTAATAGCTATGTACAGATTTTCAATCAAGCCATTGAATATATTCAAATCTAAAAGGTCGTGAGCATAAAGGAAGTTTAGTATTGTTCATTCAGTAGCAATCCATCCTGTGGTCTAATTATCTATTTACAAGATCTATTGCAATAACTTTCAAAAGTATTGAGTTGTTATAGTGATTAATGGGGTCATATAACGTTTACAGTTGCGATCGTTTTTGGATCAAAAGATGATTTGAATGATTAAGAAACATAAAAACTTAGTAATTAGTATTTGTAAATTGACGATCTTTTATTCAATAACTTTCAAAATACACCGTGTCAAATAGTTGTAGCATGAAATTCGTAATATCTTTTAAAATAAATTGTGATAAATTTTAAAACTAGACCCCCGGTTTGCTCTATTGTTTTTTTTTTATATATGTATTCAAATCTTAACTCGTAAAAGATACATTCTTTTAGATAATGGCAATATTTATTCATCACGACACAATTTAACACAATATAAAAAAAATCAAAAGACAAATAATTTAGTAAATTTAGTATGAGATCACTAAAATATAAAGGTATAGAATCATATTAAATGTACTATAGTAATATTGTGAAGAGGAAGTGCGATTTTCGGGTGTTTTCTTAGGATAATCTCCGGACTAAGGCACTTACTTACTTTGAAATTTAATTTACCATTCGAAAGGATCAGATGGAAATTATTTCTGGTGGATTTTAGATGGATTTTTATTCGAGTACTATGTGGGTCTAAACGTATGCAAATATTATTCATATATTTGTCAAAATTAAAAAAAAAACCTTTTTTAAGACCCCAATATTAAAGTACCGTGCATTGACCCCTTTGTAAATGAATTTTTATTATTCAAATTATCGAAACGAGCTGCGATTATACATATAGTCAGCAACAATATTAATAATCCCAATATTATTATATTTCTAATTTAAAATAAAAAAAACAAGAGAGGACTTTCATATAACATTACTAGCCTAATTTTGAAGTAGAATTTAATTTATATTTTCTTTTCTATTTTGGTTTATTATATGATATTTTAGAAAAATATCATGAACCTACTCCGTTTAATTTGATAAGTTCTCTTTACTTTATTGAAAAAAAGCAGCTATATTATATATATTCGATTTATTTGCACATAAAAAAACACAAATTATTCCAAATAGTTTATTATCTATTAGCTTTCAGCCTGCGGCTTGGCCCGCATTGTTTCCCCATTTTCGCAACACTCCTGTTGGTCATAGCCTGATGTTATTTAACCTACTAGCTGACCCGGTGAACTTCGTACCGCCTTATACCCGTTTTTTTTTTAATCTTACATACAAACAGTGCCATGAATCGTGGAACACATAAAAATAGAATCATCTAATTTGGTGCAGTCGGAACTGGAATTCGGAAGTTGTGCGCGTACATACGTTTCGGCGATTCATTATTATTCATCTATATTAAATAGCTCGCCCGCACATTTTTTTTTTGGTATAGTGTAAAAGGCAATTTTGATCTACATTACATGCAAAACGTATCTGACTTATTTATTTGAATAAGGATTAATACTGTATTGTAAAAAATAGGTTCGTAAATAATCCATCATTTTACTGTTTTAAGTGAACGCAAAAAAGTGGTTATTGTGGATTATCCTTGGAAAATAGACATATACCACTGCGGACTTCCTTCTAGATCTATTAAAAAAGTACAATTCCACCATACAATGTTTTGCTATAACTCAAAAGTTTTGGCAGCGTTTTCGAGAAAAGCTTCAGATCGGCTTTATTTTTTCCGACATATTGAACTAATATCGCTGTAATATCGTAAGTTTACAAAACCTTAACTTACTATACACTTTAACCTTCCTCAAGAATTGCTCTTTCTATTGTTACTTTTCGAGTTTATCGCGAACAGACAGACAGAAACGACGGGGGACTTTGTTTCATAATATGTAGTGATCATATAAACCTTCTTCTTGAATCACTCTGTATATTACTGAGAACCGCATTAGAATCCGTTGTGTAGTTTAAAGTAACTCAGCGTACTGACAGCGGGAAGCGATTTTGTTCTATACTGTGTATATATAGATAAGAAAGAATATATACTACAATATAATTCTAATAAAGCTCAAAAGGGTACTAAGGTCGCATACCTGAAAAGGGCCAGTTAAGCCAGTAGTCACATTTATCATAATCGTTTGGCATTTAGCTAGGTGATATTGGATAAATAATATACGCATCGTGAATCAAAGGTTTCCAATTCCGTTGTGAGCTTATCGTAATATTTATAGCGAGGTTGTGCTAACTAATAAATTTGTTTATATTTTAAAAGAAGCTAAAATGATTATCGCGAAGCCGCTTGTAATAATCGTTTATCTATATGCTAATAGGTATTTATTACAATTACATCGCGTATATTATCGCCTATTACCCGGTAGCACGCGGACCACTGGTGGCACCTGGAAGCATCACAAACGCTCCGCGGAGCCTAATGAAATAATTGCTGTATAAAGATAATAAATTATATTAATGATGTATATTATGGTAATACTCGTATATACATATATACATATCTTTTTAGTGGTGGTGGTAGAGAGATGATGTTAACCGTACCACTAAATCTTGTATAAATTAGAAAGTAGCCTACACCACCCCCCTCCAGAGACCGTCATGGGCGATAAAAATTTGTGAAATTTACTCGGCGTCCAGAACGAGTAATGTACTCTTTTGTAATATCTGGTGAGGAATCAGCATCAATTTGATCAAACAATATGAAGGCTGGCTTAACACGGTCTATCGATACTGTAACTTCTTTACCTTTTTGAAGAATTTTAAAAACTTTGTCACTTCTGTTTATAACTTTATATGGTCCTGAGTATGCTGGTTGCAAGGAACCGCGAGATGCGTCTTCACGAAGGAACACGTGATCAGCGGTTGCCAGTTCTTTATGCACGAATACTTTATGATTACCATGTGTTGAAGTTGGTACAGGTCGTAGTTTCTCAGCAATGGTTCTCAGGCGGGCAGAGAATTCTGACAAGTCCGTAGTACCACCGGGTACAGTTTCAAAAAAATCTCCAGGTAACCTTAAAGGTTCTCCGTAAACTAATTCTGCGGATGAACTTTGGAGGTTTTCCTTGAACGCAGTTCTGATGCCTAACAATACCCATGGCAAGGATTCCGTCCACCTGTCATTGGCGTGGCAGACTATTGCGGCTTTGAGTTGACGGTGGAAACGTTCCACCAAACCGTTGCATGCAGGATGGTATGCAGTAGTCCGCTTGTGTTCGAAACCGGCTGTTTTAGACAGACTTGCGAATAGAGCCGACTCAAATTGACGGCCGCGGTCAGTAGTAATAGCTGTAGGGCAACCGAAACGAGCAATCCACGTGGATAGTAAAGCTTTAGCCACGGTCTCTGCTGTGATGTCTTCTATCGGCACTGCTTCCGGCCATCTGGTAAACCGATCTACTGCTGTCAAGCAATACCGATAACCTTGCGAGATAGGTAAGGGACCTATTAGATCTATGTGGATCTGCTTGAATCGAACGCGAGGTAGTGCGAAAGTACCTAAAGGTGCACTTACATGACGAGAGATCTTGGCTTTTTGGCACGACAAGCAGGCGCGTGCCCACTCTCTGCAATTTTTCCTTATCCCGGGCCAGACAAAACGTTCTGCAACTAATTTTGCGGAAGCGTTGGCACCAGGGTGACTTAGAGAATGCAGGCTCTCGAACACCTGTCTGCGAAAGGCATGAGGTACAAATGGCCGACTTGTTGGCGTGCTATTGTCACAATATAGTGGCAAATTACTACCAGGAATATGCATTTTCTCTAATTGGAGAGATGTACCTTCAGTTAGTAGTTGCTGAAGTTCCGGGTCAGATGTTTGTCCTTGAGCTAAAATTTCAAGGTTGACTGGCATTCCTAGCTCTTCGACTCGCGACAAAGTATCGGCAACTATATTGTCTTTGCCTGATATATGGCGGATATCTGTCGTAAATTGGGAAATAAAATCAAGGTGTCTGAACTGCCTTGGCGAACAATTTTTCTTCCTTTCATGGAATGCGAAACTGATCGGCTTGTGG